AAGGGGTGACCAGCCACGATCGCAGACACGCTCCTGCCTCAGACCATACCACGTCTTTCGGAGGCATCCTTCACGTTTGTATGACCTGTGTAAAACTCGAAATCCGGTTCAATAACATGTATATCCTTACGAGGTTTATTGTATCTCATTAGTCCTGGGGACTTTATCATCAGTTTCCATCATTGATCGATAGATGCTTGTAATGATAGTCTCATTATTCCTCTTCGTACTAGTACTGCTACTGATGATGGTAATAGTAACAGTAATAACAATAGAATGATTTTGTTCACCGCTCAAAACCATCTCTTATGTTTTCTGCTCCGTAGTATTTTCTCAATACATGGTTACTTCTGGGCTGTATCTGTAACAATTGGTGTAGATACTATGGCAAATATACACATTATTTCTTACTCAAATCAATCCAGTGTTATGGTTAGTGATCTAACATTTTTATTTTTTATAAAAAAATTATTTTACCATGATTTTCTCGGTACACAGTCTGTCCTCAGACAAGTGTGAAATATATATATCAGTCAGATTCGATGAATGATTGGGGAGACGAGCAATAGGGAAGCGAGTTTGAGTCACAGAATTCTAAGATTAATGATAGAAACTTATCAGCACTAACAGTATGTCGTGTTGACACTAAACCAACCTCTGGAGTCAGTTCGGGCCATGTGTTGGTCTCACAATCATGTACTTTTCTGATTCAGTCATAAAGTTGACATAAAGTTTCACTGCTGACGATTTGTTACAAGTCAACTGAAACAGCAATATGATGAGTATTTTTTCAAAGACGAGTAGCCGTAGTATATTTGACCAGGTGGCATCGTGGGGTCACCTTCTCGTAATGCTATAAACCACCAGTCAAAGTGGTGGTGATGGCGTTCTATCATTTTGATTGGTTAAGCTACCGCAAAGTCGTTCATGACAAAAAGGGTACAAATTGTGATTTAATTTGGTCTGTTCCGTTTTCGAGGGCGGATCATGTGGTATGATGAAATTAGTTTTCAGTAAACGGTAAGGTGTGCAAATTGGACTTCAACCGAGGACCATTAATATTATCAGACGATACAAAGTATTACGATTTTGATCTAAATAACCTAACGCAAGTTGAACTTTGATTTAGTGTGTTTCTCTGTTAGTAACATTGTTATAACCGAAGGATATTGGTCAAACTATCCACGTAATGAAAAACATCTCTAAACGCGAAAAGTCCATTCATAATTTTCGTTCCACAATCAACACCCGATTGACATGGAGGATACAGTCGAAGGTAAACCTATTGATCAGTCAAGCAGTAATGTCTCGAATAATTCGAGAAGTTATGTTACAGAACTTATCATGGCTAGGGCTGAATAGCTAATGTAAGTTTGCTATACTGATGACATCCCCACGGTATACCAAAGTATTTTTTGTCGTTTTATTTTGCATAAGCACGGAAACGTTACAACGAAAGTTATTAATATTTGAATTTGAAGATCATAACTTCCCAAACACAGAAGATTGAAATACTGCCAGGTTGCTTTTTCTACTCGCCTTAAACCACAAACTACATCTGAACAGGTTTTACACCAAAGTTGGAGATACAGCATAAGAGTCAATACGTCGTGGTCTTAAACAGAATAGGAATAACTGTTCTGTCAGAATAACGAGTGTCGTGGGGGCCAATCCAATAGACGTCATTTGTATTCACCATTTACTGCCCTTCTTACTGTGCTGCAGTCGCATTACTGACTTCTATTCTGAGCAATATCTCTTAGCGTTTCTAACTAAAGACTATCCTCGTCCCTTGGGCCTCAATCTGGAAGGCTGGAAGGTTTAACTGTCTCACCCACTTTTCACCATGTTCTGTATCTTAATCCACCTATCCCCTTTCACTGTCATTGTTGTTG